TGTAGATGCCAGGCAAAATTATTCTAAATTCAAATTTTTTTTATATCTTGGTGTACTCTGTCTGCAAACATTAATTAAAAATTATTAAAATATATTTTTTTTGATTAATAATTATAAATAAAAAATGAAATAAATAAATAAAGAATATTACCAGGAAATAAATTATAATATCTCTAAATACTATTAAAATGATGGGAATTTTAATATGGTTTATGAGGAATTTAAAAAATCTTTACAAATTATTGAATAACCTAAAGATTTAAAAATTGATATTTAGGTATCCATTCTCTTTTTTAACTTACTCCAAAATAGGATTCAAAAATGAATTTTATTAGTATTTTATCAAAGATTTTTAAATTTAATTATTAAAATAATTGTCTAAAGTAAGTTAAAAAAATAATTTTTTTAGAATAATAGCTCTCATTCATATTACAAAATCCTGAACTTAAAATTATAATAAAAAAATAAACTCAATTTAAAATAAAAAAATAATAAATAAGCTATCTAATAACTGAAAATAATTATATAAATAATCAAAATATTAAATGATAGTTTAATTTTTATTAACAATTTATTCATTTATTTTATATCAACATCGATCGTATTTTTTCATCATCATCTGTATGTAGTTTCTTCTTCTTGAACTTCTAAATCACTATTTTTTTTATTATTTATTAGTTACTATTATAAAGTTACTTAAATAAATTTTATAATTTTAAATTTCTTCAAAATTTTTATAAATAAACAATTATATGAATATTTTATTTTTATTTCAAATATTTATTACCATGCTTAACTTATATATTTATTTTAATAGCTAATCGCGAAACAATATTTTTATTTTTTTATAGAGAAGAATGTTAAAAGTCAAAAATGAAGAAGGTGGATAATTTTTAAATTAATATCATATATAGAATAAAGAGTGTATACTTTAATTATTTATTGCATATAGGTACTTCATATCTTACAACTTTTTCTTAAAACTTTCTGTATTAGAATCAATTTCAAACCCTATTATAACTTCATAAATTAAAAAAATAATAATATTGTGAAATCTAGATTTTGCTTAATAATAATAGTATTACTTCAAATTCTTTATTCTCATTAATATAAAGCTTTTTGCAAATTGATATTCTTAAAGAGTCTTTTTAAACTATTTGAATTATATAATTTCATCTTGCATCATTTTAACTTTTAATAAAGATTAAAAATTTTTTTCTATTTTTTCTTTAATATGTGATTCAATTTAATTTTTGGTAATGGTTTTATTTTTTCAATATCAAATGCTTTAAAACACCGAATTTAACCAATTAAATTGAATCTATCACTTAAGCAGTTTAAAATAGTATTTATTATTTTATTGAATTCAAGTATAACAGGATTTAATTTATTATTTAGGTATGATATTTCTTATCAGCTATTTTATTACCTTTCTTATATTTCAAATTAATTCAAATTTGAAATAAAACTTCTTTATTTATGGCCTAATTATTCTTTTAAGAATTTTAAACCTAAAATATATTGATCATAGCTTACTTATTACTTAGATAGATTAAGAAGTTTACTAGACATATTTCTTATCAAAAAGTTTAATGCTTTCAAAAATATCAGCATATGTAACTAAAAATAAAAAAAATCTATCTTGATTAGTAGAATTAAAAGTTATTTGCTTATTTCTGAGTCTATAAAATTCAAAGACTTAACTATAGCTACATATTAATCAAATATTTTTAAATTGAAGAAAAATAAGAAATCCTTCATAAATCGTAAATGGAGTGGCTATAAAAGTTATTTTGGCTTATATTAAATAATTTATTTAAAGATAATTTTCGAACTCCGATTTCTCTTATTCATTAGTTTCTCTAATATATGATTAGATCTTTTTGAATTATTAAAAAATTGATGTATTTTAAACAAAAACAAGCTAATTAGCATTTTTCATTAAACCAAAAAGGTTTAAACAATCATATAAACCCAAATTTACACATTGAGCTCAGCGGTATATTTACTACAGACAGGGAATTATGTTTTTAAGTTTTACAATCAATCCGTTTTATTCTGAAAAAATAGCTGTATCATCATCAGTAGAAATAAATATTAATTAAGAATAAATTATGAAATTTTTAAGTAAATTGAATAACTAAAAAGACAAATTATTCTTTAACTTCACAAGCATTACTTAAATATTTTGCAGTAATTGCTGATAGAATTTAATTATAAAAATTTAAATCTATTTTATAAGCAACTTTTTATTAAAGTGATAAATAAAGATTTCTTGAATATTTATATAAACAATTTGAACATAAAAACAATATACAAATACATTAATTGCATTATCTTTTATAATAAAATCAGATGAATATATTAAATAAAGTACTTAAAATTTTATATTAAGGTTATTTCATATATATTAAATATCTTCTTGGTTGAAGTTAATTAGATTAAACATTAAACATTCACTTTCTGTATTATGAGTGAAATCAAATAAAAAGAAGGATTTTAACTTCCCATGCATTTTGAATGTTAATAAATGTGAATGCTAGAAATTGACTTGGTAGAATATTGAAGATTTTATATAAGGGGAAAATCTTTGTTTTTTGTATTATTTTTTATTAAGAAAAAAGCTAATTTAGCAAAGTGAATTAAAGTAAAGGAAAGCAAAGCAATTAAGCAAGCAAAAATAGGTTAAAGGCAAGAAGAAATGTCAAGTTCTAAGTAAGTAAGATAAGAAGTTGAGAAACAAATCAAAAATTGTACCATCAAGAAGCAAAATGTCAAGAAGTTCTTCAAGTTAATGAAAAAATAGTAAAAGCATTACCAGATTTTAGAGTTTGCAGGAAATGGATCATTTGCATTAGTTTTAAAGGCTATCAACAAAAATACAGGCTAAACAGTGGCTCTTAAAGTTGTTGAATGTGATGAAAGCGACTTAAAAGGAATGGAAGTTATTCAAGAAGAGTACAAAATGCTGTAGATATTCAGTGGTTGTAAGTACATTATCAAAGTATTCAACAGTTTCTACCTTACTGAAAGCATCGATTCTGATGAAGATGAAGATGATAATTAAATTCCAGTAGATTAAAGTAACAACTAATCAAGCTTATTGAGGATATTCTATGTTATGGAATAGGAATTTTGTCAAAGTAATATACTTCAATAAATTGCTATATATTCCTTTTAAATTCATACTCATTTTAAGATGATTGCGGAAGTTAAAAAATTCTAAAAAGACATTTTTATTAGTTTTTATTATTTTTGCTTGTTAATTAAATGACAAAATCAAAATGAATGAATTTTTTAATTAAATAGTAAATTTCATTGATTTTAGTATGAATCAATGAATTAATTCGTTTTTTTCCTTTTTCTTATTTCGCTTTAAATTATTCATTCATTTTTAACACTTTTCTAAATTTTTATTTACTTTAATGTTAATAATGAATGCAATTCACATTTAACTAGTAAGATGAGATAAAGAAAGCATTTAATATCAAAAAATCAATAATTCAACACACTTTACCTTGTTATTTAACAAAGAAATTAATCAAATAATTTTGTATTCATTTTTAAATAAATAAAATTGCATACATTTAATATTCAAAATAAACAAATAATAAAGATATCCTTTATTCAATTTATTAATGAGTATCAATCATTATTATTAATAATTTACTTGCAAAATAAAATAAGAAAATATTTATTCATATTTTTAATATTTGCCTTTATTTTTTCAAATATAATGCAAAACACATTTCTATTCAAATTGAATGATAAAAATAAAATTGCAATCACTTTTTATTATATTATTTTTAATAAATTTAATAATATATTTAACTATTTTTTAAAATAATTTATTTAAAAATATAATTAAATAATAGCTTTAACACAAATAATATTTATCTTCCATTAAAAATATGTTATTTTTAGCTAAATCAAACTAATGCTAAAATAAATAAACAATGATAACAAAAATAAATTTACTTCTTTAATTTTTAAATAGTTTTCAATAATATTTTATTTAATTTTTATCAAAACTTAATATAAAAGCTACCCTAGAGTCATTCATTGATACTTGTAGGAAAAAAAATAGCTATCCAAGCTAATAAATGAAAGAAATAATGACAATCTAAATCTTAGATTCTGTGGCCTTTTTGCACAGATTTGATGTTGTGCATAGAGATATAAAGCCATCAAACTTTTTGCTTAACTTTGATCAAAACGGCAATCCAACTCTTAAGCTATGTAATTTCTATTATTTGATTTATTTAAAATAAATACTTTTTAGACTTTAGAGATATTAAATAAATTTTATGAAGTTGAATTTAAGTAAATCTTAACAATTTTTAAGATAATTCATCATTCATTAGAAATATCCAAGAAAAATTCAATTAAAACTCCAATAATACTCACTTATTAAAATTTTTCTTTTTAAAATATAATTTATTCTTATAAAATTTAAAATGAATAAATAAATAATAAATAACTATCAAAATAAAGCTCAACAAGAACATTATTTTTAAAATATTGACATTGAGTTAAATTATATTTCATGAAATTGACAGCAATTAAAAAAAAAACTTCCTAATAAAGCAAATAAAGGAGTTTTTTGAAAATAATATCAATTTTTTATATTTTAAAAAAATTTAAAAGAAATTCAAGAAATTAACTCACTATTTTTAAAAGCTAATCTTATTTATATCTGATACAATATTCATTAGATATTTTTTTAAAATACCTTCATAATAAAATGAAATTGATCTCAATTATTGTTAAAAATAAAATTTTTTATTTGAACAAACTAAATTTTCAATAAATACATTTAAAAATAAGCTTTAAAATATCTAAAATACAAAGAAAGTTAGATTAAATTACTTTAATTGTGTATATTTAGAGTATTCAAGAAATAACAATAAGAACTACTCACATTTTATCAAAATTAATCTCAATATACAGATTAAATTAAACATTTATAGCTTTAATTATCTAAAAGTTTTGTTTCATAACATTTTTTCAAGAAATAAACTTTATCATAAATAAAATCTTAAAAAAACAAAAAATTATACGTTTGAATTGTTACAATCACTAAAAAGCTACTTGATTTGATAGCTAAATTTTAATTTATTTACCATATCCAAATGAAATAAACATAAAAATTTTTTATTTTAATTATAATTTATTATTTTATAAAAAAATTCATTTTTTATCCCTTAATTAATGTGGATATATGGTTTCTTAAATACCTCTTTAATACATTAAATAAGTTAAACCTAATTTAACATTAATACTTTTAGTGAAATAATAAGAATATCGATTGATAGATATATTTTCATTTAATTATCTTTAAATATATATTTACCCAAAAGCAATTAGCTCATAGTTTCTCATAATTACTTGTAGCTAAATAAAAAAAAATTTTAAAAACTTTTAAATATTTATTATTTCAAGTATTAATTAAACTATTTTTTTTTTTGCAAGAGTGTCTTTGAAATTATATTTTTACTATTTAATGAAACTAAGAATAATTATCAAAACAAACAAAATACTATTATTAAATTAAGATGACAGTTGTTTGCTTTCTTTCTTCATTAAGATTTAATTTCAAACAATTCCATCAATAACTTAATTTATGTTAAAAAATATATTTATTTGATTAATTTTATAATTAGGTGATTTGGCTTTTGCATCAGCTCTTCAGAATAACGAAACCATACTTTCTATTTCAACTTTTGTAACTTAATTTTAAAATAAATATACTTAATTTAATTTATAATTTAAATTATAGAAAGGATCTTAGGCATACACTGCTCCAGAAGTATATGAGAAAGTATACAAAAAACTGGTAACATTATTTCTTAAACTATTTTCATTATTTTTATAAACTTTTTTATTTTGAACTTTATTGAATAAAAATATTTTTGTTAAAAAATAATTTGAATCTATTCATTTTCATTAAAATAAAATAAGTCTGATCTTTTCTCTGTTGGAATTGTATTGCTAGAGCTTGATAATATTGCAACATTTGATATCAATAAGACAAAACTTTAAGAAAAGTTTGAAACATAAAACGGAAGCATCTTCACAAATTTCAATTTAGATAGATAATCTCATATCTATAAAATAGCTGTGCAATGCCTCAATTATGATGTAAATCAGCGTAAACCTGCAGTTGAGCTTCTGATTTAGTTTATCGTTTAGAACTAATAGTACTTAAATGTAGAAATTTTTACATTAGTAAATAAAGTAAAATTGCTTATTTTTTGTAAAATTTTAAATAAATCAATTCATATATTTTTAAGTCCCAATTAAAGCAGAAAGCTCAATAATTTAGCCAAATTTAAATGAGCATAGTATAGGATAAGAAGAAAAAAGAAGATCAAATCTTAGAATTGTCTTAGATTAAAAATGTAAAATTATGTTTATTACTATTTTACAGACATCTTTTTATAAAAAAATATAGAAGGATTTACACTTGGAAAAGCTTATGAGCAAATTCTAATAATTGGAAACTTAGCCTTTTAAAGAATAAGAATATTACATAATCCTCAACAATTTACAAAATATGAATAAATTTGATCCAAATTTTGAATTCATTTCAGTAGGTGCGGCTGGACTTGTTCTTGGCGTTTTCAATAAATCTTAAAACAGACACTCAGCCCTAAAGATTTAAAGAGCTAAGAAATATGAAGTTGTTCGCGAAGTTGGAATAATGAGAGTTTGTTAAATGCCTCTAGTAGTAAAATTATATGACTATTTTTACTTAAATGTAAACACATAAGAAGACTTTGTTGTTTATGAGTTAGAAAAATGTTCTGGTAACTTAAAATAATTTATTTAATTATTTAAAAGTTTTTTAATTGTTAATTTAAAAATATATAAAGGCAACTTAAAACAATTTCTCAATAACTTAAAGAAGTAAAATAAAGAGTTAGATGAAGACCAAAAGATAAAAATAGCTATCTAAATCATGGATGCCATTAATTATCTTCATATTCATGAAATTGTTCATAGAGATATTAAATTAGAAAACTTACTCTATATTGATCAAGATCCTGAAATACCAACAATTAAATTAGGTATTTTACTTTTCTTTCTCTGTTTATCAATTTTTAAAACTTTATTTTCGTTATATTTTTAAAATAGCTGACTTCGATCAAGCGAGAAAAATCCCCAAAAATGATAATTTGGATTTTGGAGAAATTGTTAGTGAATATTTTACTATTGAAGGAGCTGTAAAATATAGTACTTAAGGCTAGTTAAAATTTTAATTTATTTATTTATTTTATAGTGTGGAACAATTGGATACTGCCCACCAGAATTAGTTAAAACTTTCTTATACAGTTTAAAGGTATGATAAATATTTACATACATATTCATAATTGAATTTTTAAAATAGAGTGATATTTTCTCAGTTGGAGTTTGCTTAGCACTAATAGATAATTTTGAAACTTTAGAACCTGTACTTTTAAATAAAAGCCTTGATTATTATAACGGTTTTTAAATCCCCTTTGAAGCAAAATATGGTGATTAATAAGAAGTAGTTAAAAGAAATACTAAAATTTATGATATTTTACTTTAAACTGTTGTTTTTAGATAAGATAAAAGAACAAATTTATCGCTTATTTTAGATGGTTTCTTAAAAAAAGGAAATCAATACTATTCAAAAGTTATAGAGCAAGTATTTACATCCCATTTCTAATTTTTGATAAAATATCTAATATTTTAAATATTATATAGATTTAACCATTTTCCATCTATTCGAAGGTTCTTTCATTGTGGTATAAGTATTTTTCTAATTAAATACAAATATTATAAATTTAAAACAGAGATTTGAATAAGAGTTTTATTTATGAAAAATATTCAGCAATATTCCAAATTTTTAAAATTAATTATCTCATAATAATAATATTTTTTAAATAAAATATTTTCAAGACTCCTGTTAAACAACCTATTTAAATTTTAATTTTATTATATTTAGTATAATTATCCATTTTTATTAGGTTAAATAACAAAGGTTTAGATGGGGTGAAAGCAGTTGCTTCCGAAATAGCTAAATGTACTAATTTCTCCACTTTAAGCCTTTGGCTTGAGTAATTTTTTACACATTTTCTCAATTTATAGTTTAAATAAATAATTAAAGAAATCAAAGAATTAAACAATATTTATTTATTTAATTAATTAAGTATTTTTGTTAATTTTAATTAGTGACAACAACATAGGTTCAGATGGGGCGAAAGCAGTTGCTTCCGAAATAGCTAAATGTACTAATCTCTCCACTTTAAGCCTCGATTTCTAGTAATTTTTTACACATTTTCTCAATTTATAGTTTAAATAAATAATTAAAGAAATCAAAGAATTAAACAATATTTATTTATTTAATTAATTAAGTATTTTTGTTAATTTTAATTAGCTCTAACAACATAGGTTCAGATGGGGCGAAAGCAGTTGCTTCCGAAATAGCTAAATGTACTAATCTCTCCACTTTAACCCTTTCGCTCAAGTAATTTTTTACACATTTTCTCAATTTATAGTTTAAATAAATAATTAAAGAAATCAAAGAATTAAACAATATTTATTTATTTAATTAATTAAGTATTTTTGTTAATTTTAATTAGCTCTAACAACATAGGTTCAGATGGGGCCAAAGCAGTTGCTTCCAAAATAGCTAAATGTACTAATCTCTCCACTTTAAGCCTCTACCTCAGGTAATTTTTTACACATTTTCTCAATTTATAGTTTAAATAAATAATTAAAGAAATCAAAGAATTAAACAATATTTATTTATTTAATTAATTAAGTATTTTTGTTAATTTTAATTAGGTCTATCAACATAGGTTCAGATGGGGCGAAAGCAGTTGCTTCCGAAATAGCTAAATGTACTAATCTCTCCACTTTAACCCTTTCGCTCTAGTAATTTTTTACACATTTTCTCAATTTATAGTTTAAATAAATACTGTAAATCCTCCTTAATTAACACCAGCTCAAAAAAAAAATTTTTTCTCCGAATATTGGTGTCAAACTTTTTCAATTTTTAAAACTGGTGTTAATTAAAATTGGTGTTAATTAAGGAGGATTTACAGTAATTAAAGAAATCAAAGAATTAAAAAATATTTATTTATTTAATTAATTAAGTATTTTTATTAATTTTAATTAGCTCTAACAACATAGGTTCAGATGGGGCGAAAGCAGTTGCTTCCGAAATAGCTAAATGTACTAATCTCTCCACTTTAAGCCTCGATTTCTAGTAATTTTTTACACATTTTCTCAATTTATAATTTAAATAAATAATTAAAGAAATCAAAGAATTAAACAATATTTATTTATTTAATTAATTAAGTATTTTTGTTAATTTTAATTAGTGATAACAACATAGGTTCAGATGGGGCCAAAGCAGTTGCTTCCAAAATAGCTAAATGTACTAATCTCTCCACTTTAAGCCTCTACCTCAGGTAATTTTTTACACATTTTCTCAATTTATAGTTTAAATAAATAATTAAAGAAATCAAAGAATTAAACAATATTTATTTATTTAATTAATTAAGTATTTTTGTTAATTTTAATTAGGTGGAATAGTATAGGTTCAGATGGGGCGAAAGCAGTTGCTTCCGAAATAGCTAAATGTACTAATCTCTCCACTTTAACCCTTTCGCTTGGGTAATTTTTTACACATTTTCTCAATTTATAGTTTAAATAAATAATTAAAGAAATCAAAGAATTAAACAATATTTATTTATTTAATTAATTAAGTATTTTTGTTAATTTTAATTAGGTATAACAACATAGGTTCAGATGGGGCGAAAGCATTTGCTTCCGAAATAGCTAAATGTACTAATCTCTCCACTTTAACCCTTTCGCTCAAGTAATTTTTTACACATTTTCTCAATTTATAGTTTAAATAAATAATTAAAGAAATCAAAGAATTAAACAATATTTATTTATTTAATTAATTAAGTATTTTTGTTAATTTTAATTAGTGACAACAACATAGGTTCAGATGGGGCCAAAGCAGTTGCTTCCGAAATAGCTAAATGTACTAATCTCTCCACTTTAACCCTTTGGCTCTAGTAATTTTTTACACATTTTCTCAATTTATAGTTTAAATAAATAATTAAAGAAATCAAAGAATTAAACAATATTTATTTATTTAATTAATTAAGTATTTTTGTTAATTTTAATTAGCTCTAACAAGATAGGTTCAGATGGGGCGAAAGCAGTTGCTTCCGAAATAGCTAAATGTACTAATCTCTCCACTTTAACCCTCAACCTCAAGTAATTTTTTACAATTTTTCTCAATTTATAGTTTAAATAAATAATTTAAGATAGAATAGAAATAAGCATTACATATTTTTTTTAAAGTAATTTCCACCAAGTAATTAAATTTTAATAATTTTTTTATTTAAATAAGATAAATTTAAGTTTCTTTTTTTATAAAATTTATTAAAATAATGTAATTTGATTAAAATTTCTATTCAATTTATTTTTATCAAATAAAATTATTTTGTTTATTGATTATTAAATTTCAGAATGAATATCAATGTAATGATAAATTTTATACCACATTTTATAAATTATTTCAATTAAAGAAGTGTATGCTTTATTAAAATTTAAAACTTAAAATAAGGATTAACCATATTAAAAATGATTTCCTTGCAATATTAATTATAAAATTGATATAATCAAAACTTAGAAAGTTTAATTAATTTAGCCTGTGTAAAGGCTAAAATCAAAAAAAATTATAAGATTAATTATTAATATTTTAAAGGAAGATCATTTAATTTAGACTTGAGATTTAAAAAAATAAAAATTTGATAATTAATTAATTTTATTATTTTTATAAATTAGATTAAATAATTTAGATAGAAACATTTCTTTAGAGAATTACTTTAACAAAGAAATTAACCTAGACATAAAAATATGAATGAGTTAAAAATATTAATTAGATAATATTATGATTTATAATAAGTTTATAAATTTATAATTATGAATTTTTTATGAGGTTTTTTTTTTTCAAGTAAAAATAAAATAATTTAAATTTTATGAGAGTAAATTTAGAAATTATTAAATTCTTTTTTTTGTTAACAAAATTCATAAATCAAATTAAATTTAATATTATTGTTTATAAAATATTGATAATTATTAGAAGAAATAAAAAAAATGCTTTGCTTATTAATAAAATATGTGTTTTTAAATTATTTATGATTTATTTGTTTGTATCTGAAAATAATTAAACTTATTTAATTAAAATAAATATTTTATTTTTAATAACATCTTAATTGTCTTTTTTATATTTTCTTTGTTTAAGTGATAAAATTTTAATGAATAATTAGAACTAATTAATAATGATAATTCATGTGATTAGTAATAAATCTTCATTTAATTAAAAGTTAAGCCATAAATGACTTTCATCATTATATTTTAATATGAACAAAAATGAAAATAAAAGATGTATATTTTCTTTCATGATGAATCTTAACATCTCTTTAAACACTTTTTAATTACACTCAATTCAATCATAAATGAATAATAGCTTGTAAATAAATTTAATATCATTTATTTATATTTTATTAAAAAATATTAAAAATTTCTTTAATTCTATTTTTATTTATTTTTAAAATAAGAATTATTTTTACTCTTAAAAATTTCATTATTTAAATTAAAGAATATTTAACTACTTAATAAAATTCTATTAAATCCGAGAGATACACACCAATTATTGTTGATTTATTTTCCTTTTGAAACTCAAATAATAAAACAAATATCTATCAAAATAGTTTTTAAATGTGAGTGTTTTAATCATAACATGTATAATATAGTTAAAAGCTTCACCTCTTCTCTTTGAACTAAATGTCTATATTATTTTACATTAAAAAAGAATAATTACAGTCAATAATTTTTTAAAAATTAAGAATAAAAATTGAAAGATATTTTAAGTTTTCAAATATATTCTTTTAAGGATTATTAAAGATAATTCATTTAATTGTTTTCCTTCTTACAATTTATTCAGAAGCAAAGATCAAAATACTCTAAAAGCAAGCTATTATACAAAATAAAATCAATACCTTTATAATTTGGATTAAAAATTTTTATATTTGAATCTTTCTCCTTTTTTTCTTTAAATCCTATTTTTTATTTTAGTTGGAGAAAATTGGAAAATATTATTTAGTGATTAAATGTAGAGCCAAAATATAATGATTCCAGAAATAAACATTTACTACTAATTAATTCAATTAATTTTTACAAATAGAGAAATAATAAAATAGGTAGCTGAAAACTCAGAGAAATCTGTTAATTTAGTCATTCGTATTTTTTAAATTATAATTTTTAACTAGCACTAAAAGATTAAAAAGTTCATAATGAATAAATAAACAGGTTAATGTGAAAATTTTATTTTTAATTTAGTTTTCAAGATTAAAATACAAAAATGATTAGCTAAGAAAAATCAATAATTAGTTAATAAAATTACAAAAAAATAATGAAGAAAATATTTCTTTTGCAATAGCAAGTTGAGTAAATATTTATCTGTGTTAAAAGAATAATACCTACCTAATTAATTTATTAGCAACTTATACAATAAAAAATTGGATTCAATTATTATACATTCATAATTATAGTCCTTAAAATGTAAGTTTTTGATTTGTTTTAGAAGATTTAATAGTGAATGTTTGCTTCAAAGCTCATGAAAACTAAAATTTTGTACTTTGGTTTTCAGAGTTAACCTTTCTAAATGTTGTAATTGACCTTAAAAATGATAGCCTATTTGAATTATCTTAAATTGATACTGTTCATATTGGCTAGCTAATAGTTTATCATGCTAAAGTATTCGACTTCTTTGTTTGATTATTAAAGCTCCTCTAATTTTTTCTTTTTGAATGGAAATATTTATTACCAACATGTATCAAAACTAAGTATTTAGAAAATTTATTAATATTAATAAATTTTATACTGATAAAAATTAATAGACAGTGGTGAAAAATCTTTTAAAATTTTCACATTGTCAACTTGGATTGTTTTTGAAAATTAAAATATCAAGAAATTCATAAAATAAATAGAATTAATTTTAATTTTGCAAAAGTAATTAAAAATTTGAAAGAAGAAAATAATAAATACTTCATTTTATTAATTTTTATGTTCATAATTTTATAGCTATTATCAAAAAATTATTTCTTTAATTTTCCTGCTCAGCTGCTCAGAATCAAATTAAATATGAGATAATAAATAATTTATATCACCTATATAAAAATACTGCTCTATGCTTTAATGGATACTCTATCTTTATAAAGAGCCTTACACTTAATTTACAATATAATGATTAAATCAATATAATTTATAAAAGCTAAAACAAAAATAAGGTTCCTCAAGAAATTCCTCATCTTCTGCCAACATAATTAATGAAGAAAGGCTACTACTATCTCCTGAAGAAGTTCCATAAAATTAGTAAGATGGTCAACCATCTTTATTTCCTATATTTAGAAGCTTAGTAATGCAAATATGCATATTATCACTTTACTTTCAATCTTATTAGAAACCTTACCTAAGTTTATGAAGAAGTACTATTCTAAGGCGAATTAGAAGCTAACTTAACAAATGAAGCAAGAAGGAGTTTCAGCATATCTGGAGAAGATCTCCTTCATTCAAGAAGAACCATTTTTTCTAAATAAACTAAGGCATAACTATCTCAAAGAAGTAAATAGCTAAATATCATTTATTGAGATAATAAAGAAATATAAATTCATTAGATAAACTTATAATAAATAATTAAATTAAATCTATAATAAAAAATATACATTAAAATTAAAATAAATTATAAAAAATTAAATATATTTTTTAGATTTTTATTATAATGATAAATTAGGATATTTATAATACTTATATTAAGATATTTTCACTTAATTAAGCTTGAATATTTATATAAGCAATTTATAAGGCAAAAATAATATACACATACATTAAATTTATTATCATTTATAATAAAATGAGATGATTATATTAAGTAAAGTATCTAAAAATTTTATATAAAGGTTTCTTTTTATTTATCAAATATCTTGTTAGTTTCTTAGTTGAGGTTTATTAAATTTAACTATAATCATTCACTTTCTTCCTTTTTTACATAAGGATTTTAATTTGTCATGTATTTTGAATGTTTATTGATCTGAATGTTAGAAATTGACTTGGTAGAATATTGAAGATCTTATATAAGGGGAAAATCTTTGTTTTTTGAATTATTTTTTATTAATAAAATAGCTAATTTAGCAAAGTGAATTAAAGTAAAGTAAAAGCAAAGCAATTAAGCAAGCAAAAATAAGTTAAAGACAAGAAGAAATGTCAAGTTCTAAGTAAGTTAGATAAGAAGTTGAGAAACAAATCAAAAATTGTATCATCAAGAAGCAAAATGTCAAGAAGTTTTTCAAGTTAATGAAAAAATAGTAAAAGCACTATCAGATTTTGCAGTTTGCAGGAAATGGAACTTTTGCATTGGTCCTAAAGGCTATCAACAAAAATACAGGCTAAACAGTGGCTCTTAAAGCTGTAGAATGTGATGAAAGCGACTTAAAAGGGATGGAAGTTATTCAAGACGAGTACAAAATGCTGGAGGTATTCAGCGGTTGTAAGTATATAATCAAAGTATTCAACAGTTTCTACCTTACTGAAAGCATCGATTCTGATTCTGATGAAGATGATGATTAAATTCCAGTAGACCAAAATAACAACTAATCAAGCTTATTGAGGGTATTCTATGTTATGGAATAGGAATTCTGTCAAAGTAATAAACTTCAATAAATTGCTATATATTCCTTTTAAATTCATCCTCATTTTAAGATGATTGCGAAGGTTAAAAAAATGTTAAAAAGACATATTTATTAATTATTTTTCTTTTGCTTGTTAATTAAATGACAAAATCCAAATCTGAATGAATGTTTAATTAAATAGTAAAAATCATTCATTTTGTTATGAATAAATGAATGAATTCGTTTTTTCCTTTTTCTTATTTTGCTTTTAATTATTCATTCATTTTTAACACTTTTCTAAATTTTGATTTACTTTAATGTTAATAATGAATGTAATTCACTGTTAACTAGTAATATTATAAAGAAAGCATTTAATATCAAAAAATCAATAACTCAATTCAATTTACCTTGTCATTTAACAAGTAAATAAATCAATAGGCTCTTCATTCATTTTTGAATGATAAAATTGAAAAGATTAATCATAAAAAAATACAAATAATAAAGAGATCATTTATTCAATTTATGAATGAGGGTCAATCATTATTATTAATAATTTACATACAAAATAAAATAAGAAAATATACATTCATATTTTTAATATTTGCCATTCATTTTTCAAATAAAATGCCAAACGCATATCTATTCAAATATGAATGACAAAAATAAAATTGCAATCACTTTTTTATAATAATATTTTTTTAACAAATGAAATAATATATTTAACTATTTTTTTAAATAATTTATTAAAAAATATAATGAAATAATAGCTTTAACACAAAAAACATAGATATATCTTATATTAAAAAATGTTATTTTTAGATAAAAAAATTAACTTTAAAATAAATAAACAATTATAAGAAAAATAAATGAACTTCTCTCATTTTTAAATAGTTCTCAAGATAATTTTATTTAATTATTATCAAAATTTAATATAAAAGCTACTCTATCGTCATTCATTGATACATGTAGGCAAAAAAATAGCTATCCAAGCTAATAAATGAAAGAAATAATGACTATCTAAATCTTAGATTCAGTAGCTTTTTTGCACAGGTTTGATGTTGTGCATAGAGATATAAAGCCATCAAACTTTTTGCTTAACTTTGACCAAAACGGCAATCCAACTCTTAAGCTATGTAATATTAATTATTTAAAATAAACCATTTTTATACTTTAGAGATATTTAACCAATTTT